CTGGCTGGGGAATTCTGGGAGTTGAAGTCCAGCAGGCTTAAACTTGCCAAGGTTGGAGACCCCTGGTCTAGATTGCAGCCATAACTTTAATCCTTAATCCTATTTTTCTATTTGCACCATGACTCACCACAAATCCTCGAACTTTTCTAGGAAGAACATGTTGGTTTTGCTTTATCTTAAAATTAAACTGTTGGAAAGGATTTTGATAGCGCAGCAAAGTGAGGATTTGAGACACGTGCATAGGATTTATTGCAAACAGATTCTGATGACTACAAAAAAGGAATTTTTACAATGTTATCTTTCTCAATAAAACCATAGTTTGTGATCTGATTTCATCCTCCAGCTGTCCAGAACTTGAGTAATTACTCCAATGAGTAATTTTAAAGAGTCATCAGACTAGCCTGCACACCACATAAAAGTCTGAAAATTACATGCTTTCTCCCCATCTCCATCACTTGGAACACTGCTGACCTTAAGGCCCTCAGATGCTTTTTCATTTATTACTTTAGAAATCACCCATTTAATTTACATTTTAAACTGAAACTCCAAAGAGGGAGATAGGAGGGAAAATACTGAATGACAGAGTTGGAAGGGACCATGGAGATCTTCTAGTCCAATCCCTGCTCAAGCAGGAGATCCTATCAGGCAAATCACAGCCCAATCTCTTCTTGAAAACCTCCAATGATGGACCAGCCACAATTTCTGGAGGCAAGCCATTCCACTGATTAATTGTTCTCATTGTTAGGAAATTTATCCTTAGTTCTACATTGGTTCTCTCCTTGATTAGTTTCCATCCATTGCTTCTTGTCCTGCCTTCAAGTGCTTTGGGAAATAGCACTTGATTCCCTCTTCTTTGTGGAAGCTCCTCAGATATTGGAACACTGTTCTTGTTCTGTACAGTCATTTACATACTCGTAAATGCCGCGCGGTGATTGGACAAGACGCGCGGCGAGCTGATTGGCTGAGCAAGCCGCGGTGATTGGCCCGCCAAGAATCTCCCACGATTGGTGGAAACTAATTGCGGGAGATTCAAAGCGGTGTCATTGGCCGCGGCCGCCGCGGCCAAAGAATAAAAGCCGCCGTTTTTCCCTTTTCGAGCCGAGCCGATCTCGGAGCAAATAAAGAGCTGAAACCAAGTCACTGGCTCCGAGTCTTCTTCCACGACGGAAACGACAGTTCTCATGTCACCCCAGTCCTTCTTTTCCTTAAATTAGACATACCCAATTTCTGCAATCATTCTTCATATTGTTAGGGTAATAAATTAAGGAAAGAAATAAAATATATTATAGCATTAAGTAGAGAGTTACTCTATAGGCATGTCTTATCTTGATGTTAGGCAGTTGTTTCCTTATATATGCAGAAGTATTTATCTCTATAGGCATTTCTTATCCTGCTGTTGTAGAAAATATTTCTTTAACCTTTCACTGGTATTGTAAAATTAATAATAACACATGCCTGCAATTAGTTACATCTCTCTCTTATGAAGACACATGATTATCCCATCTAAATCAATCTGAATGGAACATACTCCCTGGGAACTTAACTCCCTACATCTGGAGCAATATACACCTTTTGAAGTATGCTGTTAATAACCCTCTTATATGGTCAGTTGTGATCGATTAACAGACAATAGGAGAAAGGATACTGAAAGATAAACAAGTGCCAGGAGGACATTTGTCTTTTTGCAGGAAAGATGTAAATCTAACTTGGAGTGTTTTACAATGCAGTTACTCTACTTCTAAAAGAATCTTAAGGCATAAGAAGAGTTACTTTCGGCTATACGCTTTGTAACTTTCCTCACATATCTGTGTGTATGAGAGGAGAGGTCTTACCCTTTTATTGATCAATAAAAGTTAGATTTTGTTCTTCAAAGCCTCTGCTTAAGTTCATTTTTGGCACAGCGTGATCTTAAGTTATAGCTGAACTTTACAATATGTTTTAGCCTTCTCCCTTAATCATCTTTGTTGCTCTTCTCTTTTCAGAGTCATGGAACTGTTCCATTGCTTAATAGCTCTCCAAGTCCAGAAACTCTTCAAGTTTTTGAATCTCCCATTGTCTCGTCAACTCTCATTGGTTCATGTCTTATTACACATTCTCTCTTCCTGTTTCTCAGGATTCAGGGGTATGAACTTTACATAGGAAGCTACCAACTATCTCCAGCCCAACTTATCTCTTCACCATGCAAAGATCTGGTTTGTAGATATCAGCAAAAGATGCTATGGATAAGGGAGCTTGGCCAAGCCTCAGACAGGCTCACTAGAAGGCTTCTAAGTCACTTTTCTAGTGATCCAATTAAAATCACAGTGTTGTTTTCAGTCTGTTTTGGAGCTATTTTCCCATAAAAACACACATACACAAAACACAGCCCCTTTCATACTATTTTTTTGCCTTAAAAAGCAGGGCAATTTTTTTGCAATAACGACATGACAGTTACAAAAGCCCTTTTCCTTTGGCCACCAAAAATACATGCTATTAATGCGGGAAGAAAAATCTCTGAATTCTTAAGTACATGAAATGTATCTCTCTCTCTCTTCTTGCCTATCAGAAGGGTGCCAAGTTAGTCAATAATTTTGTGTGCATGACTTGCAAACAGAAAACATGCCCTGACCTAAATGACGTTGGCTTTGCGTTGTTATGGTTTTTTTTTTTATAAAGAACAACTCGGTTACCCAATTGGCCAAGTCAGCAAAAAGGAAAAAGAGCAGACAATGTAAGATGCCACTTGTACTCAGCAACATTTCTAATTTAAACTGTTCCCAGCTCAGTTTTCGAACAACTTTTGTTTCCACGCGGTCATGTCTCCAATGCGAAGAGAGGATTTTTAATGTCTCAGCTTCCAAACCCAGAAAAATGCTCACCAAATAGAGGTT